AGCAAGCACGTCCCCCCCAAAAGGGGGCGGGGGGGGGGGGGGTCAGGGGAGTGTGCGAGGAATATGGAGGCAGGATAAATCACAACGAATGTGAAGAGTGCTGAGGCACAGGATGCAAAGCTTATATTTGATAATGGCAGTTTTGTTTTGCTCATGCCTATTCATTTAGTCTCTCACACACATCTCTCTCCTTGCAAAGGTGCACAAAATCCATTAAAAAGGCACATAGAATTTAGGTGCTTTAATGCATATTAAACAAAAGAAAAAAGAGAGAGAAGAAAAACCATGGACAGTTTTGGAAGGAACAGCAAACTATGTGACATACTCACTTAAAAACTAGAGCTGTGTATAGTGTTGCTTCTTTGGAAGCTCTTTTAACCTCTTTTCTGTTTTAATGGCCACCATGTTCAGAATATTCTCTCTGTTTCTCCTCTCTCTGTGTTAATAGAGTCAACAAAGAGTGCAGACACCGGGGCGGACACCAGTCAGGGGCCCGAGGTTCCCATGGAGGTTCTGGGTATGTGCTAAATCAGTTTTCCCATATATATATTTTTTGTGTAATATACCTCAAGGTCACATCATTAAGGCTCAACACATAATTTTTACAATAATGAGAAGAACAGTGCACTAATGTGGTGCATGCTAGCAGCAAAAACATATTTTATGTAAGATTAAGTATATAATGTACACTGCCTTTTAAAAGTTTGAGATTAGTAAATTGTTGTTTTTTTATTTTTTTAAGAAATAAATGCTGTTATTCAGCAAGAATGTGTTAGTGATCAAAAGTGACACTAAAGACTTACATTCCCTAGTAAAAAGTAATATATTTAAAAATACATTTATGTCATACTAAGTATATTTCAAATCTATTAACTTGTTTTTCTGACAAGATTTACGGATATAAAAATTATAATTCAACTTAATTTGGAGTACTACTTGTGCACAATGCACATTTCTTAATATTAAGCCTAAAAATGTGTTTTAATGTCAGTATTGATGGGTATTGTATGATCTTTGTATAATATCAGTCTTTAAATGCAAGATACTTAAAGTGTACCTGATGTATACTTGCAATAGTTCCACTTGAGCACAATCAAATATACTTCAGTTGATCTTTAGTTGTACTTCAGCACTACATACACACAATTAAAGTGCATTAAGTACAAAATTATTTGTAAAAATTTAGCAGACTTTAAGAATACCAGTTTAGTAAACTTCAAGTACAATTGCAGGGTATTTTAAGTACATACATGTGTAAATGTATTTGTAGTATACTTAGCATGAAATAAAAGTATTTTAAATACATTTTAGTATAGTTATTTATCACTAAATTCTATTTTTTTTTTATTCTGGTATTTTGAACTTTCAATTCATTAAATATCCCTGAAAAAAATGTATAAGAGATTCCACAAAAATATTAAGCAGCTGTTTTCAGCATTGATAACAGTAAAATATGTTTCTTACGCACTATTAGAATGATTTCTGAAGGACTGGAGTAATGGCTGCTGAAATTCAGCATTGTCATCACAAATTAAATTACCTTTTAAAATATGTTAGAAAACAGTTATTTTCAATTGTAAAAATAATTACTGTTTTGAACTGTATTTTGGATCCAACAAATGCAGCCTTGGTGAGTATGAGATACTTTTGAATGGTAGTGTATGGGGAAATATGGATTGCATTGGTGTTTGTGACCACAAGGCCCTGTAAGAAAGCATGTTTCTTTTGAGAGATTGAACATTTCTGTATATTGTCAGTGTGCTTGAATGTGAAGAACTTTGCTTTCTACAGTATATTCTCACATCTCTTTCCAGCAAGGTCTAAAGGTGCACATGAACAACAAGGTTTTGCATCCTATTCTCTGCTGCTGTAACTTGGCGAATATAATCTCATGCCAAAGCACTCGTGGTGGGTCAGGTTCAAAAGCAGACCCCACATTATGCTAAGTCACTCGTTAAGTTTTTCGCAGCAGGCCCTGCTACCTTTGACAGCTGCGTTTAGCGGCTCTTGAGGTCATGGCAAAGGGGGCACCCTCTTTTCTTACTTCCTTCATATTTATTGAAATTAAATTTCCCTTTTTTGGTTCATGCGTTTTGTGCTTTGGATTGTTTTTTGGAGTTGTAATTTGAAGCAGAGAAGAGAAAGTTATCCCTGCACTCTGACTTCTTACACACTTTATTTAAAATTTAGTATAGTTATTTATCACTAAATTCTATTTTTTTTTTATTCTGGTATTTTGAACTTTCAATTCATTAAAGATCCCTGAAAAAAATGTATAAGAGATTCCACAAAAATATTAAGCAGCTGTTTTCAGCATTGATAACTAAATATATATGATAATAAATATGTTTCTTACGCACTATTAGAATGATTTCTGAAGGACTGGAGTAATGGCTGCTGAAATTCAGCATTGTCATCACAAAATAAATTACCTTTTAAAATATGTTAGAAAACAGTTATTTTCAATTGTAAAAATAATTACTGTTTTGAACTGTATTTTGGATCCAACAAATGCAGCCTTGGTGAGTATGAGATACTTTTGAATGGTAGTGTATGGGGAAATATGGATTGCATTGGTGTTTGTGACCACAAGGCCCTGTATGAAAGCATGTTTCTTTTGAGAGATTGAACATTTCTGTATATTGTCAGTGTGCTTGAATGTGAAGAACTTTGCTTTCTACAGTATATTCTCACATCTCTTTCCAGCAAGGTCTAAAGGTGCACATGAACAACAAGGTTTTGCATCCTATTCTCTGCTGCTGTAACTTGGCGAATATAATCTCATGCCAAAGCACTCGTGGTGGGTCAGGTTCAAAAGCAGACCCCACATTATGCTAAGTCACTCGTTAAGTTTTTCGCAGCAGGCCCTGCTACCTTTGACAGCTGCGTTTAGCGGCTCTTGAGGTCATGGCAAAGGGGGCACCCTCTTTTCTTACTTCCTTCATATTTATTGAAATTAAATTTCCCTTTTTTGGTTCATGCGTTTTGTGCTTTGGATTGTTTTTTGGAGTTGTAATTTGAAGCAGAGAAGAGAAAGTTATCCCTGCACTCTGACTTCTTACACACTTTATTTAAAATGATATTCCACCAAAATACAGATGTTCAATATGTGAGCAAAGCATTCTTTTGAGTCACTTCAATGATTCGGATGTTTCTGTTCACAAAACAAATCTGAATGATTCATTTATGAATCAGACTAATTCAGTCTTCAACTCACTGACTTACATCGTTTGTTTATATGTAAATAACAAATACAATTTTGGTATGGTCCAACAAAAATATTATATAGCTTCAGAACACTTAAAATGCAGCACACAAGTTGTATGAACAAGTTTTATGTGACTTAATGGTGCTTTCACAAACTTTTTAAAACTTGAAAGCTTTATTTATTTGTGTGGAAAATAGCAAGCAGTGCATTATATAAAATTTCCATTTGACAAAATGTTTATTTTTGAGTGAACCATTGCTGTTAAGCTGTGAAAATGCATTTTTGACTCGTGTAACATGATGAGTTAACCATATTAATTCTACATTGACAAATACAGAATTAAAAAAGGCTACTGTTCCCCTCCCTTCGCTGCTAATTTGCTTTACTGATCTGCCACAAACCTCCCTGCTCAATTCTCCACATTGCTTTCAAAGTGACCCTTAAATCAAGTGACCCCATGTTCTCTTTTCACATCTTTTTAAAGGTTTTTTATTTTGTTTTGTTTTTCCAAGCATGGCCTTCTTGGCCCAGAGAGAACTGGAAGCCTTTCAGACCTAGAGAGGACCTCTTCCTCGTACAATGGCAGCTTGTCAAAGCACATCTTGTAACTTTAGGCAAATGCGGCCGGTAATACAATGCCACTTGGCTCTGTAGAACCCCTTCCTCGCATTTCTCACTCTTCGCTTTGAGAGGGCGGAATACAAATGAGAGGAACCACTTGGCTTTTCACAGAGGAACGTGCATGAGAAGGATCTGTGGTATTTACACTGAAGCACTCCCCACTGGGTTTGTTTCGACTCTATACCTTTTAATTGGCTCTAATTGTTTGAAGCTTCACCATCACACAGCGACACGACAAAGAAAAAAGCCCCGCACACAATCGAGTGCCTCCCAGAATGCTTTTCTCTTTCTCTTTCTCTCCTCAACGTTGTTCCAGAGAAAATATGTCTGCCCTCACCCCCGCAACCTTTGAATATTTACATATGAAAATGAAGTTTGCTCTCCACATTTAGCACTTCATTAGCTCTCATGGTCTGGCTCTTTGAAAAGGTTGCCTGCCGTTGTTGCTCATGAATAGGCCTGGAATTACATTGATGTATGTTTTAATGATGAGCTGAACTCTACTGTTACCTCGCACAAAATGCTACGAAAGCTGCACTTTGGTCTAAAATGAGGCTATTCACTTGCAAAATACAGTTATTTACATGTTAGATGATGAACGCACAGCTTGAAGACCACCCTGAGCTTCTTTACCTAAAGTGAGATATCAGATGCTGCTTACGCTGCTCATCTTTTCCAGATGTGAAGAGTTTGGTTCATTATATTGTCTCCATAAACCAAACTTACCATCCGCGGACTCCTCCAAGTGAAGGACGAATAGATAATGTCTTCGACTTGTAAGATATTGAGTGGTTTTACTCAGCAAACCTCTTATGAATGTGCGGACGGCTGTAAGCTTGTTCTCTTGTTCTCCTTTCAGTCGAGTTCTTTTCCATTAACCTCCTGAGCGACATGTGAAAACCGTCTGGCGAGGAGCTTTTGTGAGTCACTGGTTCGATTACGATGGGCCCGTGCCCCAGTTAGGCCAGGGTTATTGGTTTGGTAGCTTGTGTTGGGCTTTGAGCTGCCGGCACACTGTGAGAGTCAAACAGCCTTGAGAACCTAAACAATCCATGTGCAGGGAAAAAGGTTATAAATGAAATGACCAAAGAAGTCGACTCTATACCTTTTAATTGGCTCTAATTGTTTGAAGCTTCACCATCACACAGCGACACGACAAAGAAAAAAGCCCCGCACACAATCGAGTGCCTCCCAGAATGCTTTTCTCTTTCTCTTTCTCTCCTCAACGTTGTTCCAGAGAAAATATGTCTGCCCTCACCCCCGCAACCTTTGAATATTTACATATGAAAATGAAGTTTGCTCTCCACATTTAGCACTTCATTAGCTCTCATGGTCTGGCTCTTTGAAAAGGTTGCCTGCCGTTGTTGCTCATGAATAGGCCTGGAATTACATTGATGTATGTTTTAATGATGAGCTGAACTCTACTGTTACCTCGCACAAAATGCTACGAAAGCTGCACTTTGGTCTAAAATGAGGCTATTCACTTGCAAAATACAGTTATTTACATGTTAGATGATGAACGCACAGCTTGAAGACCACCCTGAGCTTCTTTACCTAAAGTGAGATATCAGATGCTGCTTACGCTGCTCATCTTTTCCAGATGTGAAGAGTTTGGTTCATTATATTGTCTCCATAAACCAAACTTACCATCCGCGGACTCCTCCAAGTGAAGGACGAATAGATAATGTCTTCGACTTGTAAGATATTGAGTGGTTTTACTCAGCAAACCTCTTATGAATGTGCGGACGGCTGTAAGCTTGTTCTCTTGTTCTCCTTTCAGTCGAGTTCTTTTCCATTAACCTCCTGAGCGACATGTGAAAACCGTCTGGCGAGGAGCTTTTGTGAGTCACTGGTTCGATTACGATGGGCCCGTGCCCCAGTTAGGCCAGGGTTATTGGTTTGGTAGCTTGTGTTGGGCTTTGAGCTGCCGGCACACTGTGAGAGTCAAACAGCCTTGAGAACCTAAACAATCCATGTGCAGGGAAAAAGGTTATAAATGAAATGACCAAAGAAGCCTTGGCTGTGAAAATGAGCTCGAACTCTGTTGAAGCAGCTCAGGTTGAGTGGCCTTCCTAAAATAATCTAATATAAAGTCCAGTTGCATTTGACAGTTGACAAATTCACTAGACATTTATGTGCCTGTTGACATGTGCAAATACAACTTATAAAGTATATTTAGAATACGCTACCATTCAAAAGTTTGGGGTTGGTAAGATTTTTTTGGAAGTCTTTTATGCTCACTAAGGCTGCATTTGTTTGATCAAAAATTCAGTAAGAACTGTAATATTGTGAAATGCTATCACAATTTAAAAGAACTGTTTTCTATTTTAATCTATTTTAGAATGTAATTGATTGCAAATCTGAACTTTCAGATTACTTCAGTGTTGCAGGATCCTTCATAAAAATCAAGAAACGTCTTATTACAATCAGTGTTGAATACAGTGCTTCTTATTTATTTATTTATTTACATTTTTGTGGAATCTGTATTATTATATTATATTATATTCATTATATTATATTATATTATATTTATTATTTGACACCCATGGTTTTTGCAAACCTTTCCTTTTAAAATAACATTTATTCCAGTTATATGAGTTTATTTATTTTAGTTTTTTTTATTTGACTTTTTTTTGTGGAATTTCTAGCAATTGAAAAATATATTATAGTATATTATATTATATTTTTGACGCCGCTGGTTTTTGCAAAGCTTCACTTTTAAAATCTCAGTTATATGAGTTTTTTTATTATTTCAGTTTTATTTTAACTCTATTTCCTTTATTTAAAATGATATCTATATATCTGTTTACCACTCAAATAAAATTAAAACTGGGGAATTTTAAAGACATTCTCAGTTCAGTTCTGAATAGTGCATAAACCTGATGGTTACCATTGACATTTTTTGAAGGCATTGGCCAAACCTTTCAACCAGCACCACCATTTGAGTCTCCAGTTAGTAGACATATTCTATCTTGAGGATTGCTTCACGATGACTACACGTCTGCTTTGGCCTTTGTCTGTAATGTCATTGTTGGATTTGGAGTGGACGAGGAATGATGTTGATGCTCGCCTGACACGACCGGTCATTATTTGTGTGGCGCAGGCGATTTATGCTGCCTAACAATAGACCCACAAGCCCCTCACAATCTCTAGAGCGAATGGTTGGTGGAGGATCTAATTTTCTGCTTGTCTGAATATGAATATGACTTACGTCTACCCCCAACCCCCCCACCATACTTCCCTCCCTTTCTCTATCTTCCTCGCTCACTTGTTCATCTTCCCTGCTTTGTGAGTTGCCTGGCACTGACTGTAAAGATACCACCCACACGACGAGACCATTAAACTTTCATTACGCCTAAGTGCAGTTAATTCCAAGGGAAGCATATGAAGCAAAGAAAATACGACAATTTATCGAAGCTAGAGCGCTCAGACTATCCTGAGCTTAAGCCGCTGTGTTGAAGAGAATTGAGTGCCCAATGGACTGCTGTCAGGTAAATCAGGATAAATAACCAAAACACATAGTTTGAGTGAGACTTAGTCTGAAGTTTAACACTCAATATATCATTATTTGTCAGGATTTTAAATCATAATGGCACGATACTATAACCTTAACGTCAGATTGCATCAGAAGCCTCAAATCAATCTATTGGGAAATGAAATTCAGTTGTTTTCTCTCACATTTTTCGAGAAATAGACGCCCAGCTATCCTCCATGTCACATTTTTACACTTTTTCCTGCTTGACAGCTTCTGGCTACTTTATTTGTTTCACGGCACGTCACACTCTCTTCCCGAAAGACTGAACTCATACTGTTGTCGGCTGTAAAGCTAAATTAGAGAGCTGGCAAATTTCTGCAGCATCTCCTGACGTACAGGGCAGCAGTTGGAAACGAGCACAGACATTGATTGAAATTCCAGCATCTCGTTTTTTTCAAAGGCTGGTTTGTTGTGTTTTGATCAGCGCTGCTTATTAGAAGCCCAAAGTGGCAGGGCTCCCTCTCAGCCCTGACATTATTACATGGAAAGAGAGACAGACGGAGCATCAGGAGGAAGCCAAGTCTCAATTGAGCTTGCAGGTTCACTCGAGCGACAGCCTTAACTTTCTCATTTTGGTGCCTGTCCGTGGACTTTCAATGCAGCTCTGATTTCATCTTGAATGCAGTTTTTCTTCTCAAGTAAAATTTTTAGATATTTTACTTGAAAAACAAGACCAAAACACTAACAGAAAAGTGTGTTTATGGTGTACATTTCTGCACTTCCTCCGTACATGTGTGTGATTCTTTGTTTACTCCAGCTCCCCATTTGTGCTGGAATATGGATAAAACACCAAGCGAGGGACAGAGAGGAGACTTGCTTCCAGAAGTGGGCGGTAATGGAAACAGCGTTGTTGAATCGTATCGCATTCGGTTTCAATTACTCCCTCTACAGTGCCGCGAGACAAGAATGAAATGAAATCATGGCGGCGGCGGTTGCCCGTGCTCTCCCTCACCTTTCCTCATCCAGGCACTCTGCTGCTGCTCTATTTCTCCAATAAAAAGAGCTCTTTTTTTCACGTTCGAAACACAAATCCATCACTTGCAGCTTTGCGCCGTTAAATCAGTAGAATTTGAGGGCTGGCCACCAGGGAGAGCGAAGCGTCTGGCTAGCTCTCGTTCTGAAAGGTTGCATTAAAGCCATCGTCTGTAGTTGTTGAAATGTTGCCACCGTAACCCGAAGAATTGTCTCTCCGGCTGAAAGCGAAGCTTCAGAGCTTGTGATGAAATGAGCATGAAAGCATGTAGCATCACAGTGAAAACAGACGCCATGTCATTACACTGCCAGTGATGTGTATTGTACGTTTAAGATGTTCCAGTGTGTTTAGATAATGTTTGTAAGATTCTCATGAAGGTAAATATCGTTATTCTGCAGACAAAAGCTATGGTTTGAGTGCGGAGACGATCTGCAGCAGTGAATTGGGTGAGCTTGCATCATCCATGGATGTGCCGCGGGAAGGAGATTATTTCATGCTGTGGTTTGCTTTGGTATTTAGGCAGAGAGATAGAAGAGAGAAAGTTATAGACGAGTTTGAGAAAGAGGTTCACACTGATATAGACTCAAGGCAGTTTCTAATTAATTTTCTATGCTTCCCCTTTCGTCTGCATTTGTTTTGTTCCTCTTGAAGGCGAGAGGCTTTTGGACCATATTTTTCGTGTTTAAATATTATGCATTGGTCTCATACCAAAGAACCACTAGCTATAAAGTAATCTCTTATTGAAGTTGATGTCTAAATATATTACATTTGGGGTAGTGTGATTTAGTGGTTAAAAATACGGACTGGAAAAGTTGTAAGTTCAAGCCCTGAAAGGCTACTCCACCGGGATTGTCACTTTAATTGAGTTCTAAGTAAGTTCTACAATATATTCAGTGGACTCACCAGTTTATGGAAGCTTATTTCTGCCAAGGAATAAATGGGGGGGGGGGGGGTTGGTTAATTAAAAATGTTATGGCATCTTTTTATCTCACAATTCAGACTTTTTTTCTTGCAATTCTGAGAATTAAGTCTGAATCGTGGAATATATGCTCAACATTGTGAGAAATAGACTTGCAGTTCTGAGAAAAAAGTCTGCATTGTGAGATATAAATGTGCGATTGCTAGAAAATTCTGAAAAGTCAGAATTGTGGAAAATTCATGACAGAATTACCTTTTTAATTTTTTTTTATATAAAAAAAACAGAATTACGAGATGTACACTCTAAGGAAGAAATACAGAATTTATGATTTATAAAATGTATGATGTATAAAATTTTAATTCTGAGACAAAAATAAATTCACAATTGTGAGAAAAAAGAAGTTGCAATTACCTTTATTTTTTTCATACCTATGCAAATTTGTGATTTGAAATATGAACTTTAAAAGGATGTTTCATATCCAACCAACCAACCAATAAATAAATACATAAATAAATCATGTTTTGGAGATTAAAGAATGTAGTTGCTGTTCTTCCTGAAGATGATAATGAGGAATCCAGCATGTGGAGCCAATATAATTGTAATAAAATCAAAGGAAAAAAGGCACATAGAACTTACCACATTATTTTATGACTTTTGTTTATTTAGATGCTGATCAAAGTGTTACAACAGCCAAGGAGAGCGACACCAGCAACAGCACTAAAGGTAAAAACATTTTTTTGGCCATTGCATGGTTTAAATTCAAATTCATGGCTTATTATTTTACACAGAAGAAAGCAAAGTGTATGTGCAATTCCAGATGTAAATGAGTTTGTTATTTATATGAAAGTTGAGAGAGAACAAAATCCAGCAACAGGATCAGACTGGAACTCATGTCACCCAGTCATTTCTGAGCATGTGCGTGAAGCACTAGGTCACGACTCCAATTCAAATGTATTTTTTATTATTTATACAGAAGAAAGAAGAGCGTGTCTGGATGCATTTTTAAATTAGAATTTTCAGGTTACAGACCTTTTTGCCACTTTTTTCTATTTATGACAGTTGAGAGATGCAAGAAATGACAGGGAAAACAGAGGGGAACAGGATCGTAAATGTTGCATTTATTCAAGTAAACTCAAATGCATGCTTTATTATTTATACTGAAGAAAGAAGAGCGAGTTTGGATGTATTTTCAGATGCATGCACAGGTGTATCTCGTCATCCTGATCTCTGCAGTCTCATGTTCTTCTCTTGAAGCCTCTGTTGCCTCAGGCATAGCCTTTAGCATCCGCTGCATTTATTTCAGCTAGGAGAAGCTCAGTAGCCAATGAGATGTCACCCAGTGGCATCTAACTTTTAATTCCTCTGCTCAGCTGTGATATTGAGTCATTCATTCCCGTCTCTCTCCTTAATATGTATCTAGATGATGTGAAAGCCCAGGATAAGAGCTCACAAGAGCCCGACGCAACTCCACCAGACACCAGACCAAATTCTGAAGGTAAAAGCAATAAATCAATAAGAGCTGTGAATAAAACAGAGAAACACACTTACGCAGTTCTCATCTTCAGTAAATGTCCCCGTCTCTGTCATTGTCCTTCTCATTCAGCTAAAAGCTCCCAACTTTTTCTGCCTCGTATGCTTTACCCGCAATTCCTTCACTTCCTTTCTCTCTCATTCACTTTCTCTCTGCTGATCTGGAACTGCGGAGTGACCCTGATTTTTCAGAGTAAACGTGTTGGCATGCCTCCTTAAATTGAGTTTGATGAATTACCTGCATGCCCACCTCACGGACATTAATAAATCAAACACAAAGCGTGTGTGATCGGAGCGCAGAGATGACGCAGTGCGAGAAAGCTGATAAATCATGTGTGATAAGAGTTTTGCTGTGCTGTCATTTCGGGAACCCCGGGGTCAGCTTCCCTCTTAGGGCTGCACATACAAACTCCCAGCATGCCATTTATATTCATTCCCTTCGCATTTGACAGGAAATAATTTAGTACAGTATCTTTATGTGTGTATCTGTACAAACAGGCATGCAGGTAGAATTTAGTTGGACTTTTATTTAACTAAAAGAAAGTTGGTTCTATATTAAAATATATAATATATGATATTATTATATTAAAGTCAGCATGAAATTCAATTCAAGTCAAAACAAACTGTCTGAACAGCAAGTTGTTGTTAAATTAGATATAAAGTTGCTGTTAAATTATATTGAATACTTAATATTCAATATATATTGGTAAGTTGTGTATGTGTGTGTGTATATATATATATTTATATGTATACTTTATTTGTAAAATATGTATTAAATATAAAATAATTATAAAATATAAATATAAAAATCATTGTATATTGAATATTATATATTAATGATTTATTATTTTATATTTGTTTATAAATGGCACAATGTATATTAATGAAATACAGAATAAAATGGAAAAAATTCCAGTAAAAAATATTTTTTTACTGATTAATTGTCTGATTATTTAATGAAACAATAACCAAATATTCTATTACTTTTAATTGCAGCTCCACTTCTAATTGATACTGTAAAATAAAAAAAGTGAACCTAGATCGTTGGAAATGGGGGGATTTGTCAAAGAAAAAGTAAATATGCTCAATGTTGCTTTCACGTTGACACCAATCTGTCAGCCTTGTGCATTAGGTTTAACTGTTTGTTTTCTGACATGTATACTTAATTCTGCTTTCATGTTTGTTTTCTTCAAGACGGCGTGAACCTAGATCGTTGGAAATGGGGGGATTTGTCAAAGAAAAAGTAAATATGCTCAATGTTGCTTTCACGTTGACACCAATCTGTCAGCCTTGTGCATTAGGTTTAACTGTTTGTTTTCTGATATGTATACTTAATTCTGCTTTCATGTTTGTTTTCTTCAAGACGGCCAAGGCGATAAGAACGCACAGGAATGAGACGACAATCAGCCTCATAGGAACGAGTGCCGGCAAACTGTGTGAAGGCAAATATCACACCAATTTTGTCCCACGCTAGAGAGTCACCCGCAAATACTGGGAAAAGAGTTGCCCCCCCCCCCACTTCATTCACCATTTTTCCTTCTATTAAACCTGTATTTCCTTTCCGCTTCCTCATATTGATAATAAATCAGATATATAGCTATATAAAAAGGATCAAATGAGAGTCTGAACATATCAGAGAGAGTGCAGGGATTGTGGAGCTGGAGGAGGACTGCTATACCTCACTGACATGCTGCTTGATCAATAGCTTTTTGCTTTTTTTTTTTCAATATAGCATCTTGGTGCTGGATTTGAACTGGTTTAAATTAGGTAGAATGTTAAAACACATCCTAAAATCATCCTGCCGCTTTTAGTTACACGCTAATTTGTAATACTTCTGACAAAGTGCAAAGCTAAGGCTAAATTTTCCATCTCGCAGAGCACTCGTAATGCAAAATTCAGACCAAATATGATTGGATTCCGCAGGCCTGTCCACCGATTTAGATTTCTTTCAGGTGAAAAACACTAAAATGGCTATAAATGTCTGTTTGTGCGTGCGTGAGTGTGCGTATATACCGATGATGTCACTTTAAAGAGGTTTTCGCTTTGTGTGTGAGCTATAGAACCAAGTCAGGTCAAACGAGGAGAACATCGCTTGATTCTAATCTCCTCTATGGAGTGGTGGCATTCCTCCCTTCTGCACGCTATATAACAGAGGCATTTGTGCGCTCCTCTGCTTTGAAACGACACGTCACGCTCGCAGAGCCCCCCTTTAATCTCTCAAGCGAGCGCTGATCATGTTTCATCTTCAAAGCTGCTCTGACTACTGCGAATGCCTGTATAAAAAAAGGAAAACCTGTTGTGTAAGACTGACGTGGCCGTTTTTGATGAGTGCGCTAACAAATTAATTCCCTCAAGTATATCTAGATGCATGCCAGCATTGTTTCAAATGTTTTATTTACAGTCCCTCTCGGTCTCCCTCCCTTTCACATGCATAAACAGTTGCAAGCTCTCAATATTTTTACCAGATTGTCTCTGCATCTCTAAAAAAAAAATCTGCCTTATTTCATGAAATAAGTAGTACGTAATCACAAACAGGTGATGGCTAAAATAAAAGGCAAATAGTAAGTGTGTGGCTTTGAATGAATTAAATGCTACTTCAGATGATGAGTGATGATGCACTTCTTTCTTTAAACACACAAAATGATTTTGATGAGTCCTTTTGTTTGGGTTTTGATTTGGTTGTTTGGTTATCTTGCATATGATTTTTTTGGTTGATAATGATTAAAAATGTATTCAAATGCTTGATTTACTTCTTTAAGTGGTGCCATACTGTATATCAGATGAACTCCTGCCTTCATCCTTTGATGATGTTTGCTTTGCTATAAATCAACTATGAATAAAGTTATAAAGTTGTTTCCCTGGGCATGATGTCTGTGTGTTTTATGGTTGCACCGTATCCAGCAGGTAATGTCAGCAGATATTAATCCATAAATATATTTGTATTCTCAGAATTATTATCAGCAAAATTGCACATGCTTGTAAGCTATTCAAAATACTGCATCAAAAATGTCAGAGATTTTTATTATTATAATTTCATGTGCCCGCAGCATTCACTTTATAACTTCTCTAAAGCACTTAATGGATAAAATCATTTTTGTGATTGAAAACTTTAGATATCATAGAATTTAATTTGTTTTCAATAACAAAAAATGTATAGAGACTGAAATCTTGGGTGAGTTCCATTTGAAAGGGGGCATAACTATGCTGTACTCACTCTGAAGGGTGTAGTGCAGTACACTTACGTGACAGCATGTCACTGGTACTTTTTTTGGAATTGACCATTCGCAAAGACCCATCCCCCTTAGTCACTGTTGCTATGTCCGACAAACCATGCTACTCTCACGCCACACAGTGAAAAAATAAATCTCGGAGCAAATAGGAAACTGACAACATGCCGACAGATAAGACAGAGCAGGTTACTTCTGGTATGAAACAAAGTCTCTGCTTTCAAATTTCCTTTTTTTTTTTTAAAGAAATTCAAACAATAAATAACATTTTGTGTCGATCACTAGCGCCGCAGTTCAAGCGGCACGTAAACCAATCATCTTTTCATATTCACTGGTTAAAGCACAAAATAAACATGAATGAACATCAGAAGGTATCTTGTTTCAACCGTGGAAAGATAAATGTTAATACACACTATTTTTCAAGTTTAAGTCCACGACGTTGATCTACTATCCTGTCTGATTTGTTTGATGGACAAAATGGCAGATTCTGTGATATGATTGGTCAGATGGCCTGTCAATCAAGCTCCGTGCGAAGGGTTACTTGGAATGTTAACTTTATAACATTTCCTCAATGTTAATAGCTGTAAACTATAGTTAGATTTCACCTCTCTGTGTCTTTAATTGTCATTAATGTACTGTTTCTCTGTGGCATTCAGAAGCTAATGTTAATTTATGTAAATATGTGAGGTATATTTTCCAATTATAATCCAGGAGAAACTGAGAAGTTTAAAATCCCTTCTAAGCTTTTAAAATGAATGGCAAGGATGTGTCAGCTAGGATCACATGATCATTCACTGCAAAATTACTTCCTTAAAATGACTATTGCATGTACTGAGGAATTGAGATTAATTAAATTACTGTGCCATTGAGGGTCATGATCACAGATGGCAAAATTATTTCCCTAAATTGATAATTGCACACCTTTTACTAACGTCCTTGTGCAAGGGCTCTAGTTATAGGAAATATTCAAATCAAAATCATTTTGTTATTGTGCTACAACCCTAACCCAAAATGCCTAACCACACTTTTTCATCTCCCAGCTGTGATTTGCACAGAAAATATGTCACTGAACTTTTCCCGAGTCTCCTGTAAGAAGTATTGTGATCTCCAGAGATGAGAAGAACATGCCGCTGTGCTCCTCTAGTCCTGACCTCTCTTTAGGAGGCGCAGAGTGCTGTCGTGTCTTACGAGGGCCACATAGTTTGTCTTAAAAAGTGATCCAGCAACCTGTGGAGGATTACGGCAGGGGTGGATATTACTAGACAACCTGGCAACAAGGAAAACATCTTTGATTCTAAATGGATTCGTGAGACGTTTACCTAGTATTTATCAGTAATAATATTCCTGTTCCTATCTACTTTTTTTTTGCACACATTCCATATGAACCTCTAGCTCATTTCTAACTGGTTAAACTAATAGTGTATCTAACTAACTTTGCATGTTTTATAGCACCCCTGCTCTCCACTATAAAGTGAGGACAAAACCCTTAAATGAATGTCACAGTCTGTGTTTGCAGTACCTTATCAATATCTCTCAGCAGACGCAGACTGACCTCCATCACCGGCAGCCGAAGAGACACATGGAGCCCTCTGCACAAGGTTCTCTCCGTGGTTTGCGGTAATTACTTTGCTGATAACTCGTCCCCAGTGCCGTTACTATGAATTATTACACACAGTAAATAATTTGTGTCACTTTACTTTTCTCCTCAGCGAGAGGACACTGAATTCCCAGGATGTAGATGGATCCACAAGGCCAGTGGACTTTTTATGGTCACTTGCTAGAGAGAAACCGAGGCAGCTGGAAAGGTGCAAAATCAGAGAATGTTATATGGTGCTCTGAACAAAACAAAACATTGGAGGCGTCCGCATCAAATGAATCCACGCATAACTGTTGTCTGTGAGAAACCTATCAAAAGATCCACAAGAGGGCTACTGTACACCCAAGCTACAGCATAAATATGCCAAATCTAGTGTTGAATATGCAATTATTACAAATTCATAGATAAAATGGGCCAGAGCTGTGGCTTCCCAGCACGATTCATTATTTTGAAACCTGGTTCCCTGCTGCTACCACTAACGTACCATATATTTCCATAACAAATTCCTCCATCAAGGTAGGACGAATAAAAGAAGCCTGGCAGCCCAGCAGGACATTTGCACCGGCCCCTTCTGCCCCACACCTCAGCTGTGCTGCATGCGGTGAGGAACAGAATGGGGCCTCCTGATATGTTTCAACAATGCAGTGAGAAAAAGAACAATGGGAAGAAAGCAAAGGAGAAAAGCAGCTCATATGGGTCTCCTCGGCAGGTGCATAATGCATCGCCTCTGATTCCATGCAGTATTTTGGATGTTTTATTGGTTTTGACAGTGGGTTGTTTAGGGAGGTGTTAGAATACAGAATAATATGTTATTCTGTGCAGTCCTGCTATAGACGTAGATTTGCTAATACAGCTGTATATATACAGCATCTATATTATTTTCAACCATTTTATTGATCATTTTTCTTTTATGATGCCTGCTTTTAAAATAACTTGGGAGTGAAAGTTAAATATTTAATGGTGGTTCTAAGCTATATTTGGTGCAGATGCGAGTGTAGCAGCGAACTTTTTCGTCTATATGGAATGGCAGTTTGGATAGGATTCATGTGAGTATGATTCACAAATCAAGCTGTATGAGTTTTATTCACTAAAAACAACTGACTTGTTCAAATAATTCATCTGCAAAACTGAAGCAAACAGGGTGTGCTGTATATTTTTTATTCATTTCAAACGGAGGTGAGCTACATTGTGTTGTATGCTTTTGATTTACTGAAATGAACAGGCTCATAAGAGTCATTCCTTATGCAGTCAGGTTGCATTGTATGTTTTTGACTCAGTTTAGGGGAACTGGTCCACAAGATTCATTCATTCTGAAGTCAGATGACACTGGCTGCACTGAATGTTTTTGACTCACGTAAAATAACCTGTTCATAAGAGTCTTTTGTTGGGCAATGGGACTACAAATGTGTGTATATTATGAGAAGCCAAACAGGCCATAATAACTGAGAAACCTTTAACAAACACTAGTGAAATGATCACATGGTGAAAGATGTTGATGTAGTGGCTTCAAATTTGTTGATGCTACACTGTTTGGGGACTGTATCAGTTTGAGAACTATTAAATCTCTTGTATAAGAAAGTATAAGGTGTAAATGATACATATGTCTGTTTTTAATGGTATTTTTTTTATCAGAGAGATTGCTATTTGTTATTGTTACATTGTATATTTCTTTTTCTTGTCATGTTTTTTTAATTTTTTGGGCAATATTTTATATAATAAATTATTGTATTATCACATTATAATGTTTATTATATAACTAAACATTATAATGGGATTCAAAAAAAGCACCATTAACATTCGAATCACCGGTGGAACGAGTACAGACTTCGACCGAACACCGGTTCATAAAATATATGAAAAAAAGGCTGTGGGATTTGTGGGGGGGGGGGGATCTGTCTATAAGATTAATTAAACTTATAGTTCACCCAGAAATTAAAATTCTGTGATCATTTGCCATTCTTCATGTCGTTCCAATTGTGTATGACTTCATTACTTATGTGGAACATTAAAAAAAAAGAAATATCTGCAAAACGACAACATAAATGTGAGCAAATTATGGCAGAATATTCATTTTGGGATGATTTATTCTTTTAAAAGTTGTCTGACCTCTCTCTGTAACATGCCGTCATTATGACTAGCACCAACACCTTTTTGATTATTCACACATTCTGCTTGAAACAGGGCAGTAGATCTGGGGTTGTGGCTTACCGACAATGAGCTAAGATGAGAGCTGACAGCAATTGAGCAATGTGGCGTTTTCTCCTCCTTATTTTTTGTTTGGAGTTAAAAGCTCGCTGTCATTACGAACAAACCCACGTCATGTGAAGTCAGTGGCTCTGGCATAAAGCTGATGAGAATCAAGATCACAATTATGATTTTCTTTCCATTTTATTCCTGTCACCCAGAACAGCAGTGCTTCACCCCTCAAATAGTCTCAAATTACAGGCTGGATCG